TAAACATCAATTGCATTATGTTAATACATATGTTAAACAGTCTGTATTTTTTAAAAAGTAACTCTTTATAAAAGCTAACAAAAAGCCTTGTATTCTCTTCTAAATTCCTTTTCAAATCTGCTAGTTGCAATTACTAACGTTCTCACGTCCAGAACACCATCCCTAACATCTTTACTCTCAGCTGATGATCAGACCTCTTAGTCACAGGGAAAAGTATGGCCAGCTGATACAGTCCCTTCACTTTGCACACTGGACAAGGGCCATACTGTTCTCAGACACCATCCTTTTGTCCAAGTATATACCCTCTTCTCCTCAGTAGGTTACTTTTTCATTTGTGTTCTTGATTTCTTATTTGCCTTTCTCTGCACACCACCTACAATATTCTATGATCCACCTCATATAAAAATGTGCCCACTTACTCTTTGAACATTTTTAATGCAGCTACCGAAGTCTATGTCACTGAACTGCTATAAGACACAAAGAGAAACAGAAATTCATTCCTTCATTCAGGCAACTCAGAAACTCAGGAGGGGCTGGTGCTGTGGTCTAGCGGATTAAGTTGCCACCTGCGGTGCCAGTTCAAGTCCTGGCTACTCCACTTCTGATCCAGCTCCCTGCTAATGTGCTGGAAAGCAGTGGAGGATGGCCCAAGTGCTTGGTCCCCTACACCCACACGGGAGGCCTGAAGAAAATCCCAGCACTTGGCTGTCCTAGCTGTTGCAGTCATTTGGAGAGTGAACCAGCAGATGGAAGACGTCTCACTCTGTAACTCTGACACTGCAGTAAATAAAATAAATCAAAGAACAAAAGAAAGAAACTCAAGGGACAGCTCAATAGGTAAACATTCTCCTCTCCTCTAACCATAGACTCAGGTCTCCTTCCATCTTAAACCCACAAATTACGATCCCCTGTGATGCTTAAGCTACTACCATTGGGACAACACCTCCACAAGCCCATTTTTTGAAAAAATCAACACACTAACTATCTTATATCCAACCGCCTTTTAAGATCTTGCCTTTTTGGAAACCTGTTGAAGTGAAATGAGCACTTGGAGAAACAGTGAGTCGAACAGCCCTTGCCCCGACTGTTGATGAACAACTTAATACTTTATCCCTTTTAATATATTGGTTGAACTCTTTAATTAACACACAATTATTCTTAGGTGTTTAAATTTAACTGAAAAGTGATCCCTGTTAAATATAAGAGTGGGAATAAGAGAGGGAGGATATGTACAACTTGGGACATGCTCAATCGGACTTGCCCCAAACGGCAGAGTTAGAAATGTGCCAGGGGATTCTAATTCAATCCCATCAAGGTGGCACGTACCAATCACTAGTTAAAGTGATCAGTTTCAGTTCACAATTGATCATAATGATAGGACTAAGAGTCAAAGGGATCACATAAACAAGACTAGCGTCTGCTAATACTAACTGATACAATCAAAAAAGGAGAGAACAATCCAACATGGGAAGCGGGATACACAGCAGACTCATAGAATAGCAGATGTCCTAAACAGCACTCTGGCCTCAGAATCAGCCCATAAGGCATGCGGATCTGGCTGAAGAGCCCATGAGAACATTATATGCATGGAAAGCCAAGACACTCTGGGGGGAAAAAAAAAAACCCGACATCAATAAAAGATCTCTGCGAGTGAAATCTCAGTGGAAAGAACAGGTCATCAAAGAAGGAGGTACCTTTCTCTGAAGGGAAAAGAGAACCTCCACTTTGACTATGACCTTGTCTAAATAAGATTGAAGTTGGCAAACTCAAAAGGCTTCCATAGCCTTGGCAACTCATGACAAGAGCCTAGGGTGATTACTGACGCCATAAACAAGAGTGTCAATTGTTAAGTCAACAACAGGAGTCACTGTGCACTTACTCCCTCCCTATGTAGGATCTCTGTCCTTACTGTGTTGTACAATGTGAATTAATGCTATAACTAGTACTCAAACAGTACTCTACACTTTGTGTTTCTGTGTGGGTTCAAACTGTTGAAATCTTTACTTAATGTATACTAAATTGATCTTCTGTATGTAAAGATAATTGAAAATGAATTTTGATGTGAATAGAATGGGAGAGGGAGCAGGAGATGGGAGGGTTGCAGGTGGGAGGGAAGTTATGGGGGGGGGAGCCATTGTAATCCAAAAGCTGTACTTTAGAAATTTATATTTATTAAATAAAAGTTAAAATAAAAAATTAAAAAATTAAAAATAGAAAAGTACTATATAAAAAAAAAAAAAGATCTTGCCTTTGGTTTCCACCACTATATTGATACCTCTCACCAATATCAAAGTTGACTGACCCACTTAGCAGTTACAATCAGCATCATAAACAATTGCTCTACTCAGTCCTTATCGTAATCTCTGCTAGAGGAGACTCTCTGGACCTCACTCTATTCTCAAAATTCTCTCTCAGTTTGTGATACTTCAGTGCCCTAATGTATTTCTTCTCTCTTGTGATTCTGCTTATCTTGACTAAATTTCATTTCCTTTTAATGAAAAAATAAAAAAGCAAACTTTATCCAAAATTCCATTTTGAGATATAGCTTTCAACTTTCTACTCCTTTTCCCTCAGAGAAAATTCATAATAATCAGTTATAAAGTACAATGGAGTTGAGAAAAAAAAAAATCTTAAGAGGGCCTGGCTTTCTGGTTCTATCACTGACCTAGCTGTGTACCCACAGCATATCATATCCTAGGACTCCGTAACAGAGAGTGTTTTTTTTTTTTTTTTTGGACAGTGAGAGAGAGAGACAGAGAGAAAGGTCTTCCTTTTTCCATTGGTTCACCCCCCAATGGCCGCTGCGGTCGGTGTACCGCGCTGATCCAAAGCCAGGAGCCAAGTGCTTCTCCTGGTCTCCCATGCGGGTGCAGGGCCCAAGCACTTGGGCCATCCTCCACTGTACTCCCAGGCCACAGCAGAGAGCTGGACTGGAAGAGGAGCAACTGGGACAGAATCTGGCACCCCGACCAGGACTAGAACCCGGTGTGCCGGCACCACAGGAGGAGGATTAGCCTATTGAGCCACGGTGCCGGCCCAGAGAGTGGTTTCTCAATGTTCTTTCCAACCCCACAGCTCTACAAGCCTAATCAGAAAAGGACATCAGACTTCTATTTCTAACTTCTCTAAGGTGGTGCAATTCCACATTCTCTGACATTTAAGTGACCCTATTCTAAACAAATCTCCCAAACCAACTACTTCTGCTTAATTGCCTATCAAGTATATGTACTAGGGACTGGCATGGTAGTACAGTGGGTTAAGTTGCTGCTTGTGATGCTGGCATCCTATAACGGAGTGATGAGTTGAGTCCTGGCTGTATCGTTTCCAATCCATCTCCCTGTTAATGCACCTGGAAAAGCAGCAGATCACGGTGAAGTGTTTGAGCCCTTGCCACCTATCTGGGAGACTTGGATGTAGTTCCAGGCTCCTGACTACTACCTTGGCCCAGCTTGGGCCACTGAGGCTATTTTGGGGGTGAACCACAGACAGAATATTTCTCTTTCTTTCTGTCTCCTCCTTTCTCTCTGTCACTTTGTCTTTGAAGTAAATAGATAAATCTTCAAAAAAGTTTCTGTAGGGTGCACCACTAAACTTGAAACCCTAGTAATCTTATAAGCTTTCTGCCTTTTACTCATACATTGTTTTTCCTAATTTCCAATCTTCTCTCAAGGTTTAATTCAAAGCGTACCTCTTCCAGAAAGTGTCTCTTGTTCTCCCCATCTGGTTATAGTCTCTCTCTCATCAGAAGACCCAAGACACTCTATATGCACTTCTCTCATAAAACTGTGCTCATCATTTCCTTCAGAACCTGGTCAGTGGGAGCAGGTTATATACCTGATTATTCTTTGTACCTACCACAACACCTTAAGCACAGTTTTGTTCAAATTTAGCACCAAAATCCTAAGATTTGAGTATGATTACCTACACTTAATTTGAACTTTGGATACAGAGGTAGCGGCAGAATTTTACAGGGTTATATTTTTCTTCAAGTAAAAAATAATCATTTAAAGATGTATTATGACTGGGGTGTTCTAGCTCTAAAACACTGATGGCTCTTCTTAAGTTAGGGAAGCAAAAGCTCCTCTTCATCTCCTTCAAAATCCACATCAAAAGTAGACCATAGATAGAAGTCTTCACAGTGTCACAATTCAAATTGGGCTTCAAAAAGTTCAGGGAAAAATGGAATTAAAACGCAAGTTTACCAGCTCTCTGCTAATGCAGACCTTAGGAGGCAGTGGTGATGGCTCAAGTGATTGGAATCCTATCATCCATGCAGGAGATCAAGATTGAATTTCTGGCTCCCAGCAAGAAAAAAAAATTTTTTTTGAAAGATAAGTTTATCCCAGTGTAAAAAAATTTTGAAATCTGTGCAGTTTTTTCATAATACACATTTCCAGGAACTTTTTGAAGAATCTTCTTTTTAAAGGCAAACTTACTAAAAGATGTACTCAAATATTTGGCTTTATAATTTGAGTATTTCTTTTTTATTTAAACAGTTCATAAGACAGAGTACTTTGAAAATCTATTAGACTCAATAACTACGATGAGAAGTGTAGATTAAACATACCAACAACTGATGCCTATCAGAACATTCAGCTAGAATACACAGTATCATCTGCTCAGAAAACAATTTCCCATAATGAAATACACTATCATTAATTTTCAGCTTCATTAATAAGCTTCAATACATTGCTCTAAAATTTATTTTTAAAATGATGTTCTCAATTTAGATTGTAAAATAAACTCAGAGAGAAAAAAGATTTCCAGCTTCTTTCATTACCAAGAAAAATAAAAAATGCAATTTAGTAGACAGAAGCACCAGAATTTTCAAGGAGCCTAAACCAGCAAAGTCAAGGCTTTAGCTTAATTCATCTAGAAGACAGGATGTCTGGTGTGAGGCCTGACAGCAGTACACAGCATCTCTGCGAGAACATTAAATAAAACTGAGAGGATCCGTCTGACGCCTCATTATGGAGGATGCAGAGCACCGTGCGGCTTACCTCGTTTATCCCTCCAGGAGAGATCTTGTATGACTGCAACTTCTGCTTCAGCAGCTCCAGATCACTGTGACGGAATGGGCACCCTGACAACAAGAAACAAGTCAGTACCCCAGTGAGGTTATTTACCTAGGACTTAGCACAATACCACACTCAAGAGACTGTCTAAGCTCCCCTTAATTGTCTAACAGCTTATTAATAAAAAAGTTAATTGCCCATGGGTGCAACTGCTTTCCTGTCTTTATCTAAATGACAACTGAGCTATACGGTTATCAGGGTACTACAGGCTCAAGAGTTCCATAAAACATTCCAGCATTCTCAGGCTGAGATGTCCATTCACTGGGAGGAGGAAAATTGCTTCAGTTATGCTACCTGCTAACAAGCACAGATAATCACAACATAGCTATAACAGTTTATCTAAAAACTTTACAGTTTCATATTTTTTCTAGTATAGAAAATGTAAATAAAATGCATATGAGAAATAGATAACAAACAAAAAGAAAAAAGCACAAACTCTGAAAAATACAAAATCTTACATCACTTTCAGAAGAAAATGCTGTGTTTATTTTCTGTAGAGTAGAGCCTATATAAATATAGATGGATCATGGAAAGAAGATGAACAAACAGGAAACTCTCATAGAAAAACAACTTAGATGGGCATTTGTTGTAGCAATAAGACACAGCTAAGGATGCCTGTACTCTGTTATCAGAGTGCTTGGATTCGAGTCCTGGCTGCATTTCCTATTCCAGTTTCCTGTAACTTTGCACTCTGGGAGGCAGATGATGATTCGAGTACTTGAGTCCCTGTCACCCACATGGGAAATCCAGATTGAGTTCCAGGCTCCTCCCTTCAGCCTGGCTGAGCCCCAGCTGGTAAGGGCATTTCAGAAGTGAACCAGTAGATAGATTTCTATCTGCTTTGGTCTCTCTCTCTCTCTTTCCCTTTCAAATAAAAGTAAGTAACAATTAGAAAAACAACTTTTATATAGTATATACATTCATCTCTATCTTACTTCATAGGAATAAAAATGAATATAAAAGGCTAGAAATATTTGTGTAAATAAGAACACAGAAGAACTGAATTGTACAAGACTCATTAAGGGCCGGCGCTGTGGCTCAATAGGCTAATCCTCCGCCTTGCGGCACCGGCACACCAGGTTCTAGTCCTGGTCGGGGTTCCGGATTCTGTCTCGGTTGCCCCTCTTCCAGGCCAGCTCTCTGCTGTGGCCAGGGAGTGCAGTGGAGGATGGCCCAAGTACTTGGGCCCTGCACCCCACGGGAGACCGGGAGAAGCACCTGGCTCCTGCCTTCGGATCAGTACGGTGCGCTGGCTGCAGCGCGCCGGCCACTGGAGGGTGAACCAATGGCAAAGGAAAACCTTTCTCTCTGTCTCTCTCTCCCACTGTCCACTCTGCCTGTCAAAAATAAATAAATAAAAATTTAAAGAAAGACTCATTAAGCCAATAGCTACAAAATTTTAGATATTCTAATAAGAAACTGAAATGAAAGTCAAAATACTTATCAGAAAATTTAATGCAGGAAATTTGGATTACTTTTTTTAGTCACATAAATAATGGATTAGTAAGCTAACTGAAAACAAGTGCACATTTTAATTAAATCAATGGGCAATTCTTTTATAATAAAACAACAGAAAAGAGCCAGGATTAAAAACAAATGTATTTACCAAAAATCTTACTACAAATAAAAATATCCATCATTAACACTATGGACTCCTATAAACTATGGCGTTTACAAAATTTACAGTATATACTGTGATAATATTAAAACCTAATAACTGAGTATCACCAACATTTTGAGAAACCATAAAATCTGGAGCTAAACTGCCTGGGCTGGAATCCCAGTAGTTATAATAGTTGGGTGACCTCAGGCAAATTTTTTATTTCCTTGTTGACTCAATTACATTTCCTGTCAATAAGAGAAATAATAGTATCTACTTCATAAATTTCCTTTGAGAGTGGAGTATGAACCTGTTGCAGCCTCGTGGTATGTAATGAGCACTTGTGATATGTTGGCTATCATTATTATTCTTGAAAAACCTAATAATAAATTATAACAAAATCTCAGTGGGAAAGAAATGAGGGAGAAGGAATTATTGGTTAAGCCCTGGATTATTACAGGCACAAAAAGGAAAACAGATTACAATGATTTACCCAAATAAGATTTGAAACTATGGCTAGTCCTGTATAAAAGTCAGAAAAGACAGGCCAAGAAGGAAGGAAAGATTGCCAAAATACTAATGGACACAGAAGGTCTTCTAAAGCTAAACTCACTATCATAAAATAGAAAAACAGAATCACTATTTAAAGAAAACAGAACTTGAAAACACTTACTTTGTTTCTACCTTCTGTATCAAAGAGAATTATCTTTAAATTAGAAAGGGTTGAATTCACAAGGCAACAGAAAATGGAGTGAAAGCATACTCAACTAACATTATTAACAACTTGTGTCTGACAAAGCTTTCAACACACACCTGAGAAACAGAAAGATAAACACAGGCCAGGATATAGTTATTAGTTATACCTACTAGATCTGTAACTGGTGAACAACCATTCGGGTAATTTGTATTAATGAAATAATGTCTACTGAGGGTGCTAAAGTATTAAATACAAATTTAACATTTTATAATGAAATTAGAAAATATTTTATGAAATTAATAAAATATTAAATGAAAATTCCAGAAGTAAACAATTCACCAGTTTTAAATTTTGCAAATTCTGAGTAATAAAATGAACTCTTCTGCCATGCCAACTCTTCCACTTAGGATTTAATTAACATTTTCTCCAGTGTATCCACACTATATATGCTACCTGACCCTTAGTCCCTTAATAGCTATTTTAGTTATCATATTGACTATGGTGGTTATCATGGTGCTGGGCTCTAGGAATCCTTATTTTACTTGATAATGACCCCAAAGTTCAAGAATGGTGACATTAGCAACTAGGACATCCAAAAGAAGCCATCAAAAGTGCTTCCTTCAAATGAAAAAATGAAAGTTGCCAACCTAATAAGAAAAAAAAATTGTATGGTGAGATTGCTAGAATCTACAGTAAGAAATCATCTGTGAAATTGTAAATAGAAAAAAGAAACTCATAGGAGTTTTACTGTACTACTTCAAACTGCAAAAGTTACAGACCAGTGCAAGTCAAAAGCTTAGTTAAGATGAAAAAGGCATTAAATTTGTGTGTGGAAGACATGAACAGAAAACATATTCCAACTGATGGCAACATGTTGCCCCAAGAAAGCACTGAATCTCTGCACAGTCTTTAACAAGGAAACCCTTAAAAGGAATGAGACAGTAGTCATGTGTTAGAGATTCAGTAACAGGTTTAGAACGAAAATAGCAAAATTATTAAAGAGACAAGAAGCATCTAGAAGGTACTACAACATTCCTGGCAGAGCTGTAGAAGTTAATTAAGGAGAAAGAATTCCATCCAACATAATTCTTCAATTTCAATGAAACAAGGCTCTTCTGGTAGGAAATGTCAAATAGAATGTACATTTATAAAAGTGCAGGAGTGGGGCTGGCATTGGGACATAGTGGATAAAGCTGCCGCCTGTGATGCCAGCTTCCCATATAGGCATCAGTTCTGTTTCTGGCTGTTTCACTTCTGATCCAGCTCCCTGTTAGTGCACCCAGGAAAGCAGCAGAGGATGATCCAAGTGCTTGGGCCCTTACACCGATGTGGGAGACCCGGAAGAAGTTCCTGGCTCCTGGCTTTGGCCTGTCCCAATCCTGGCTGTTGCAGCCATTTAGGGGGTGAACCAGTTGATGGAAGATCGATCTCTCTCTCTCTCTCTTTCTCTCTCTCTCTCTCTCTCTTTCTCTCCCTCTTTCTGTATCTTTGACTTTTAAGTAAATAAAAATAAATCTTAAAAAAAAAGTGCAGGTGCATCACATAATATATGGAAGGAAATATTAACTCAGGTACTATGTGGCAATGCGATGGGGTATAAAGCCATGCACACTGTACAGAGTAAAGAATCCATGTTTTCATAAGAAACAAAAGTTATCTGCTGGTGTTTTGGCAACACAATCAGAAAGGGTGGATGACAGCTGTCTTGTTTATGGAATGGTTCCAACAATGCTTCATTCCAGAGGAGAAAAAAAAATACTTAGAAAAGGAAGAGTTGGGATTTAAAATCCTCTTACTATGAAGGTACTTCAAAAAGTTCATGGAAAATGAAATTGAAGGTACATATATTTTTGGTGAAAAAATTTTGAAACCCATGTATATAAGGGGTCTCCAAAAAACTCATGAAAAGTGTGTTTTAAAACAAAACTACGACTGGATTTCAATTTTTTTTTACACCAAAATGAACTTATCTTTTAATTCCATCTTCACAAACATTTTGAAGTACCTTCATAATAGTTAATGCACCTAGCCATCCTGAATTTATTTGCTATGAAAATGAAAATGTCAGGGTTGTATTTTTACCTCCAAATAAAACCTCAGTACTTCAGCCATTTGACCAGGGCATCATTTGGTTTGTCAAGGCACAAACACCTACCTGGTATTGGATCACCTTCAATCAGTAATTGATGCTGACTCTAATCTAGACATAATGCAGTGTTGGAAATCATTCACTAGTGCTGACACAGTACATTCATCAAAGCTGCAATGGATGAATTAAAACCAGAAACTGTTAAATGCCTGCTGGGAGAACTGAGGGAGTGAAGTCATGAATGATTTCAAAAGCTTCTTAGGGATCAATGGAGAAGCTAAGAAAATCATTTATGCGGTAAGACAAGCTGGTGGAGAAGGATTTGCCAACACACTTAAGGAAAAAGTGGAAGAATGTATTGAAGGCCATCAGTGTTAACAAATGCTGAACTGGGAAAACTGGCTGAGTCATCTAGAGAGGAAGAGGAAGAGGAAGAAGAAACTGAAGCAGAACCAGCAATAGGGACATTACTGACATTTGCCTAAGTGTTTCAAACTGCACAGACGTTAAAGGTCAAAATTATGGAATACAGTCCTTGAATGGAATATAGCATTAAAGTTACCCAAATGCTCACTCAAGGATCACAACCACTGCAGAACACTTTGATTGGTTAAAGAGACAATAATTTCCAAATATGTTCTTGAAAACAGCTTCAGAAAAAAAAAAAAATCCCCCAAATATCAAACATCTACATCATCATGGCTCAATGATCCATCTCCTGACATATTAGAAGGTCAATAGTCATGTCACTTCATCTCATCACACAGGCACTGTATCAGTTCACATCATCAAAGAAGGATAAGTATAGTACAATGAGATACTTTGACAGAGAAAGATCATATTCTCCTTTAAGTCTGTTATAGTTGATCTATATATTATTACCGTTGGTTTTAATCTCTAATTTTGCCTAATTTATAAATTAAACTTTGCCACAGGTATGTATGTACAGGAAAAAAAAACATTGTACATATATGACATGGCAGCACTTGCCTTTTCAGGCATCCATTGGGAGTCTGAATATATCCCCTTGGATAAGAAAGACTACAGTAGTTCTTGATTTACAAGTTTTTGTTTTGTGGTTTTGTTTTCTTTTTTGAGAAGCAGATAGAAAGAATTCTCATCCAATGGTTCATTCCCAAAATGTGCGTAATAGCCAGAACCAGGAACTCAGTAAATCCTGGTCTCCCAAGAGGGTGGCAGGTACCAACCACTTCAGCTGTTCCCAAGGTCTGTATTGGCAGAAAGCTATAATAAGGAGCCTAAGCAAGGAATTGAGAACTCAGGCACTCTCATACAGGATGCAGGAGTCTTAACCAGTGCCTTAACATCAGTCCTGAATAGATTTTAAATTAAGAAAAAAATCAAACAATGCACTGTAATAAACAAGATTTAACAGGAATACAAAACATAAAGTCTTGCATTTAAGCTCATAAAAAACAACAAAATAAGCCATGAATACTAAGACCTAGAAATTCACAGGAAGAATCCCTGGGAATTTTATTTGGCCACAAACTCAATTTGGAGTTAACTGCCTGACATAGCTGCTATGCTAAGAAAAGCTACAGGCCTCCTGCACGGAAGTATCTGGGTCAATGGCTTTCAAACTTTAGGAGACATAAAAATCACCAAGGGAAATGCAAATAAAGTCTGATTTTCTATGTCTTTGGGTAAGGTCTGAGAATCTGCATTTCTAAAAGGTACCTAAAGGAACCACAACACAAGCGATAAGAATCACTATGTATCCCCTGTATTCGTCACTTCTTCATTTATTAAATGAATGCATAGGAATATAGGCATTTCTTTTTTTTTAATTTTTTTTGCTGTTAATAATTTTATTTTTTTCTAATTTTGTTACTTTAATTTCCCATAGCACCTTGGCAATGTTGAAAACAAACAGAAATACAAAGATGTACTCAGATTAACATTTTATGTGTGAACATGTGTCACACACAATTTGGAGTGGGGGTGGGGGCAGTTTTGACAACAGGAACAAATCTAAGCAATGGACAATATAGAAGCCAGATAATTAATTCTGATCTCCACTTCCACCCCTGGCCCCAACATTTAAGAGATATCACACAAGGGACACATGAATCAGTTTAAAACAACAACAAAAACCCTTTGATGTAGTTATTTCTTTATGTATACTATCAGTGTTTTGTGCTGCAAAACCGAAAATTAAACCATTTAACACATAATTGCTCTGGACACAAGCAACATCTTTATAATAATGTTTGTGATTGTTTGATCTTGAACAACCTATAAATGTATAATCTCTTTAATACTGTACTTCACTTAAGATTCTAAAACTCAAAACAAACAACCAAGTTAAGAAATGGGCAAAGGATATACACAGACATTTTTTTCATGGCAGGACATACAAATGGCGAACGGACACATGAAAAGATGCTTAGGGTCACTGGCCTTCAGGGATATGCAAATAACAATCACAATGGGGTATCACCTCACCTCAGAATCACTGTAATACAAAAATCAAAAGATAATCAATGCTGTTGAGAATATGAAGAAAGGGTAACCTAATGCACTGTTGGTGAGAATGTAAACTAGTAACAACCATCATGGAAGACAATATGGAGAATCCTTAGAAAAACAAAAAATAGATCTACTGTAAAACCCAGCTATCCCACTCTTGGAAATATATCCAAAGGAAATGAAAGTAGTATATGAAAAAACCACAGGCACTCTCATATTTACAAAAGCTTAAAACACAATATCTAAGATATGGAACCAATTCAGATATTCATCAACTAATGCTGGGATAAGAAAAAGGTGGTATATATACACGATGGGATATTACTCAGCCATAAATAAAAGAACGAAATCCTGACATTTGCAACAAAAACAGATGCAACTGGAGATGAGTATTCTACACGGAATAAGCAAGACCTAAAAATAAAAATATCACGTTTTCTCTTATTTGTGGTAATTAATATATATGGAAATAGATATAGATATACTACTATATTTTAGTGGCCTACGATTATTTTTAAGTTTACTGTAAATGAGCGAAATGGACATCTTTTCATTGTTTGTAGCCCTTGTCTATATTACTGCTGAACTATTGTCTTTTAGCTTCTTATTTGATGAACCTTTTATTTAGTGGAGCAGTAAGTCTGACTATATTGTGAATTAAAATCATTATCTCAAAAATTAAAGGAAACAGAAAAGAGATGAAGGAAGGAAAGAAAGGAGGGGAGAAGAATCATTACATTCTTAGAACTGTACTTATGAACTACATTGAATCCATTCTCTTTGTATTAATATCACATTAACATGAGAATTTTAAAAAATACTTTTTCTAAAAAAGGATTCTAAAAAAGTTTTGAGGTGTATTGTAGTAAGCTTTGGTAATCTGAAAATTTTACTAATATGAACTACTGTGTCATTCATGACAAACCAGGCAAATGAGGAGCTTTTCAAAGTATGCTTAGAGAACTGTTTTAGAAAAACGTTGCTGAACTCAGAGGTCTACAACAAAGTAATCTGACATGTATTTTTTTTTGTAATGAACACCTCAAGCAAATTGATAGATACGTTTCATGTCACAGTTTGTTAAATTGCTCCCTTGCTCTTGATTGGTTAATCAAATAATTGTAATAAGAATAAAACGCACTCTTCAATCTTTTGAAAATTATTGAATCCATTATTCCAAAATTAGATTCTTCAAAGGCTTTTAAAAACCGTGTATCAGCCTTCTAAGACATTTGTAGAACACAAGAAAGACAAAAAACAGCAGGGGAAGGCGGAAATTGAGAACTGAAAAGCCTAGTCCAGCACAAGCTGAAGTGCAGCAGAATGAGTTTCTCTTGCCTGACCTAGTTCAGTAATAAGACAAATCACTGTAAGAGTAATGGAGCTCTCGCTTGACACTGATGACTGACATAACCTACAAACCAGGACCTGTCGGTAATGCAAAAGGCCATTACATGGTTTCAGTGTTTCCTGCACCGCTCTTGGGTTTCTGTAACTTTGCCAACATATCCAGTGGAAGCACTTACCATGATAATCCCCCTGGCCTGGTGGATTGGTTAGGATAATCTTCAGACAACTGAAAGGTGTATAGTCTGTCCTCTTGCCTTCTTTTCCGAAGCTATGGCGGATGTTGTAAGAATAACATTTATCAAACTGATAGGAAGAAAAAGAAGATACAAAGTTAGCCAATATTGTATTAGGGATGTCAACATTGCCAGCTAGAATCAAAGTGAAAAGTGATATTGTTTAGACTGCACTCTGCATTAACAGGCAGACGTCCATTCACCTCATATACAACATTTGGGTTCTTTATGCTGTTTCTTTTTCAAAAAAGATAGAAAAAAAGTTATAGGAAACAAACTTCTCCAAAAGAAATCAGCTCATGTTGCATATATGTTTAAAAATAAGGATAGGCCAGCGCTGCGGCTCAATAGGCTAATCCTCCGCCTGCAGCGCTAGCATCCCAGGTTCTAGTCCCGGTCGGGGCACCAGATTCTGTCCCGGTTGCTCCTTTTCCAGTCCAGCTCTCTGCTGTGGCCCAGGAGTACAGTGGAGGATGGCCCAAGTGCTTGGGCCCTGCACCAGCATGGAAAACCAGGAGAAGCACCTAGCTCCTGGCTTTGGATCAGCGTGGTGCGCTGGCTGCAGCGGCCATTGGGGGGTGAACCAATGGTAAAGGAAGACCTTTCTCTCTCTCTCTCTCTCTCTCTCTCTCTCACTGTCCACTCTGCCTGTTCAAAAAAACAAAAAAAAAAAAAATGAGGATAATCCTTTCCTAAGAAAAAATAACTGATTTGCTCTTGCTTAGTTTGACTGCAGAGATTATAATAGAGGTAAATCTGTTTAAGCTCTTTTCTACCCTCATTCCTCTAGTTCTTGAATTCTTACATCTCACCCTTTCTGCATTTCCACAACACAAAGAAGTAGCCAGCAAAGGTTTGATGAAAAAATACACTATTGTAATTGTCTCCAATTTATAATCCCTGCCTCCATGTTTGTAAAACAATCTATGGGACAGAACTTTAAAATGGGTGAGATAGGAGAAAAAAGGGAACACTCACTGAAATATGGCAGGCATTTTGCTAGATGCTTTAAAAATGTAGTTCCACTTAATCATTTAAATTGTCAGAACTCCCTTATGACATTTCAGATGAAAATACTAAAGTTTGAAGAAATGAAACAATGGTACTTGATACAGCTATTAAATAAACGGCTGAACTGAAAATCACATGCTGTTAGGTCTGATTCTAAAGCCTATGTTCTTTCCATAATGCCAGACTTTCTCTATAGTAAGATATTTTAAAATAATAATTTCCAATGAAATAATTTCAGGGTATACCTTCTTTTGCATCTTATTTTCAAGGATGCTTGATCTTGGAGCCTAAAAACAAAAGAAATCTCTTCTTCCTCTAAATTTTAATTGCATTTACCTATAGCTATCTCTCCCTGGAAGATTCCTTCACTGCACATTTGGTTTTTATGGTACTTTGTGGTACTTCTCTTGTAATACATTACCACTATTTTCTGATCAGATACGGGATTAACTTTGTGCTAGAGCATGAGATCCTTGAGGTAAGATCTGTCTATTGGATTTTTCACATAGAGCTCAGTACCAGCCAGAAGGAATGAACGGAGGGAGGAAGGGAGGGAGGGAGGGAGGGAGGGAGGAGAGAGGGAGGGAGAGAGGGAGAAATGAACTAACTAAATCCAGAATGCCTCCTTGGTCTACCATAGCATTTGAAATACTATATCTTTATTTTGTTTCCATTATTTTCCAGCATCTGATGGTTGGTGATTTTCTATTTCTACTATTAGGTGGCACTCATTTGGTACAGCAACCAATATCTTCATTAGTCAATTGAAGTTTTGACAAAATGTCTGACAAGAGGAAATATTCAACCCTGGTGGAATCTTACAGAAAAACACAACTTTTCTGGGAAAGAGGTAGTGGTTAAGGTTAGTATCCCATATCAAGAAATTGTCTGGGGTGGAGATTATAATCCTAAAATTGAATTTCTAAAATGAATTTAGACCGTCACAAATCACAGATACAAATCAGTTAATGTTTATCTTCTACTCTAAAAAAATACATGTTTAAAACAAAAACTTCTAATCCTCCACCTGTGGTGCCGGCATACCGGGTTCTAGTCCCAGTCAGGGCACCAGATTCTGTCCTGGTTGCTCCTCTTCCAGTCCAGCTCTCTGCTATGGCCTGGGAGTACAGTGGCGGATGGCCCAAGTCCTTGGGCCCTGTACCCACATGGGAGACCAGGAGAAGCACCTGGCTCCTGGCTTTGGATCAGTGCGGTGCGCCGGCCGCAGCGGCCATTGGGGGGTGAACCAATGGTAAAGGAAGACCTTTCTGTCTCTCTCTCTCACTGTCCACTCTCCCTGTCAAAAAATAAAAAATAAAATAAAATAAAATAAAATAAAATAAAATAAAAAACTTTTCCATACTTATATGGGACTACTTGCTTTTATTACTGAGTGATCTCTCAAAACTTTCAAAAAGAGAATCATCAAAAGCTGTGAGCAGTTTATAGAACATGTCAAATGTTCCTATGTGGCACTTTAAGCTGTATTTACTAACTAGTGAGAAGTCAGAGAGACCAAGCAACAAATCATCTTCAAAGGGCATAATCTTCAAGGTTCTGAAACTAATATTTGAATGAAATGCCTAAAGAAGTTATAGTTTTTATTTCCATGATTCTTTAGCTTATAAATATTTAGAAAGATTAGAGAATTATTCAGTAAATTTTTATACGTGAAATTCTAAGAAGTATTATAGAGACAGGAATGAAAATCAAGCATTGCTTGCACCTTATAATTATGCATCCTGCCAATGAATTGAAACTTAAAAGGAATACAAAAGGTAGGCTGAGAGTATTCTGGGAAACAGCTATGCCCCCTTTCCTGCTTTAAGTGACCCCAGGGTACCTCTATATGGCAAGTTGCCCCTTGCTCCTGTTCTCTAGGCCGTACTAAGAGCAACACACAGCAGGGTTGTTGCAAATCCATCTATGGAAGCAGACAGCTGGGATAGAATCCCCAGCTGGGCCACTTACAAAACATATGACTTCAATCCTCAATTTTCCTCATCTGTGTCCTACCCTTGGTGTTTCTTTGCTCTTAGTAATTACCCACCCATTAACTCTCACTCTGTTACTGGACTATAAATTCCCACTTGTTCATGCTGTATTTGGAATTGAGCCTAGTTATGTTTTACTATGTCTCTTCCTTACTGTGATATTTCCTGAATAAAATCTGTTTTTACTGCTTTAACTACTATCTGCTTTTGGTTTTTCTTTCACAGTTCTTGGTACTGTGACTTGGATCTGATCCACCAAGGGACCTTAGACAACCAATCAAGACCACTGCTCCCTTTTGCTTGCTCCTATAGTTATCTAGTGAGTCCAGCTACACACTACAGGGCTCTAGACAGCTGTCTGCTCAAGCACAGTGTGCTGGACTTAAGATTCCTGAGTATAGATGTTTCTCAAATTCAGTGGAGTTATGTCCCAATAAAGCCCATATTATAAGTTGAAAATATCATCAGTTGACAATGCATTTAATTCACCTACCTACTGACCATCCTTGCTTGGCAATACAGTGTACTGCAGCACATCAGTAGTTTCCCTTTGTGATGGCAGGGCTGACTGGGTGCTACTGCTCAGAGGTGCTGCCCAGCATCTCAAGAGAGCCTCAGACCATGTGTTGCTAGCCCAAAGATCAGAATTCAAAATTCAAATTATAGCTCTCACTGAATGCCTATTGCTTATATAGCCTTGTAAAGTAAAAAAAAATCACAAACCATGGTGAGCGGGATATCATCTATATGTTGTCTGAAGCTGGGTTAGAAGTCAAAGGTACCTATCAGCCTGGAAGTCTTTCTTTCCAGCTCTGTTTCAAGTGGGGATCCATTCCCTGACTTTTGAGCTAGAAAAGTTTCTTGAAATTTCCTGAGGTTTCTCTGTTCTATTTAATCCTACTTCTCTCAAGGGAACTTCGCAGCCAAGTGACTCCCCCCTGAAACTCTCCTTTGTATCTTTTTCTCCTAGAATGTGCTCCACCAACTGCCCCTCAACCCCTAAACTCCTTTAACCATTAAGGTTCACTGGGCTCCCATTTCCTGTAGATGAAACACAGTGTGCACCCAGTACCCATTCCCAAGCAAGGCCAACAGAAGAAAATAACATTTAAACCTTTGTTTTGGTAAAAACTACATGCCATCACCAAGGATTTTCCTGATCCCAGAAAATAAAGGATAATGTGTCTTGAACAATTTACAATTGTTCTAGGAGCATACTCTCCAGGATTCCCCAAGTTATATCAATTTATGCACTTGTTGGTTGAGCCTGGAGATGCTTCACTTTAGTTTGAAAAAGCCAAATGAACCACCATTTCTGAAGACCTTCAACAGCGTCAAGACTGTGGGGAGCAATCCGGACTGGACTGAGTTACTGGAATTGGGACTTATTCTATGCATCTGCTCTCCCACAATATGGCGCTGGGAGAGAAGTAAACAGCTTCCGCACAGCTGCCTCCAGTTCAACCAATAAACTGTAGGACTTGCTCCTGATTGGAGAGCAGCGTACTCGGCATGTGGGCAGCCGAGTTAGGATTGGCGGAGGAGGACTATAAAGGAGGAGAGAGACGGCATGCATCAGGAACATCTAAGGGGAACATCTAGCTGAAGGAACACCTGTGCAGCCCCCAGAGAGCCGGCCGGCGGTGTGCCGCTCCCCTGCGGAAGTGGGGAATGTGGCCAGGGGGAACTGCCCTTCCACGGAGGTGGAAGGGATAGTAGCCAACCCGGGAAGAACCAGCAGCAAACCCGGGGAGGGCCGAGCAGACGAAAGAACAGCGCAGGGTCCTGTGTCGTTCCTCCACGAAGAAGGGGAGCGACAAAGACTACCCCTGATTCCCATCAAAGACTGATGGAAGTAAGAGAAAAATTACTAGCAGCCATCCCTCAGATCTTTCCCACCAAAACTGATGGGTCATATATCCAAAATTATCAACAACAAAGGAATGAAACTGGAGCTGTCAACCATCCATTAGATACAACATGATATGACCATTTGGGGCTGGAAGTGACTTCTCAAACAGCCTCTATTCCGGCTGTGCAGAATTTGTACATAGACTTAGGCTGG